GTGCACCGCGGTGTTCTCAGGAAGAGGAGAAACGAGACGAGAACATCGTTGTCGTTATCTTTATTTTCTTCTTCCTCTACCTCTACTTCCATTTTGCTGTTGTTGTTGTTGTTGTTGTTGTATTGCTACTATCGTCGTCGTCGTCGTCGTCGTCGTCGTCGTCGTTGTTGTTGTTGTTGTTGTTGTTGTTGTTGCTGTTGCTGTTGCTGTTGCTGTTGCTGGTTGTACTACTGATAGCGATAATGGGAAGATTAGAGATTCGGCGGTGCGCGAGGCGCTATGGATTTCGCTTACTTGCATTGGATTGTTTATCTTGACGTTTTGTAAAAGTCAAGTTTAAGCGATGACCTTGCTGCATTACAGCGATACTCGCTACTTCATTATTTAACCGAATTTGTACGGTAGGGGATTGGTGGATTAACCAGTCTCAGCTCGGTGGTAGCTAATTTCAAGCGTTAACCTTCGTCAATTACGTCGAGTAAAATCGACATAATTGAGCCGCGGCCGCAGACATTGACACGACTTGGTGAAAGTTTTCGAGCCAATCGCAAATCACGGCTACGTCGGGTATCACCTTTCGCAATGATACGTCTTTCAATGGCTTTGTAATAATTGAACGTACAAATATGTAATAATTTCTATTGCACGAATATGGTATGAGACTGTTATTCTTCCAGTATCTTAACGTTCGTATTTATTTTTTATTTTCTCTCCTCCCCCCTCCCCCATCACACTCTCTCACTCTCTCTCTCTCTCTCTCTCTCTCTCTCTCTCTCTCTCTGTTTTTAATGCCAGCCTCCGCTTATATTGTGGTTGAATTTATTTTCAGGATTTTAGAATTAGAAGCTGCGCTTTTGGATACCGAAGCACCTTCCGCGTCGGATATATATGCCATCTGCCAAGGTCAGCCAGTGCCAGCAAATTTGAGGCCCGATGTTTGGCAGGCTTGTTTAGATGTCATCGACCGTGGGAATCAGTTGATCCATTTTAATGAAGTGTTTGATCTTCCGGAGCAAAATATTATAAGAGAGGATTGTCAGCAACTAGTTAGTAAGTCTAAGCAGTATGTAATAGGAAATTTCAGTGAGAGTCTTATTGTTTAGGATTATTGTTCGAGAGATTATTTAAGCGATTATAACTTTGACGTTTAAATTTTATAGTTTAACGCTAGGTTAGCAGTGCGTCTATCGAACATTAAAACTCAAATTTTTCATAGCGTGCATTGTATTTAATTATGAATTTATTGATTAATCGTTGCTCGAATATTTTTCAATAAGCTGTTATAAGCTTTGTTAACGATGCCTATAATTTTTGCAAAAAATACAAATACTCTCATTGATAATTGCATAAAAACTGTTTTCCTCCCCTTCATGAATTACTTAAAAGGTTTATGAAATCTCACTTGATTTTGTTTTATGGAAAAATTTTTAGATAAACTTGGAAACGACGACGAAGATAAGGTGTCAGTTGTTTCCGACCTAGAATCAATTATAACCTTCTATTGTAAAAATAGAGGTAAGCGATATGAAAGGGGTAACAGTTGGCTCGAGTTATTAGGCCCACTGATAGCTCTAAAATTACCTCGTTCCGCTACCTACAATTTATTTGAGGCCATCAGAGATATTTATATTCCAAGGTATGTGTAAATTTTTCATTCCATTCCAAACGTTAATATTTAAAATATGCTTTCTTCTTTTTGAACTGCTACGTATCACTCGAACTAAAATTAAACTCGAAATTAAAAATAAATTTGGATTTAAAGAAGAAAGTTTTTAGAAAAATTTTTGTTGTAATAATATGATTAAAAAGTATTTATTATGTTTTTTTTTTGGTTAATATCAGAGGTGATACGCATAGTGCGGTATTAAGACTACTATTGCTTTATCACGAGCCAGAATTGTGTTCCTTTTTGGACACAAAAAGAGTATCACCTGACCAGTACACCAAAGGATGGATAAGTACTCTATTTGCGGGGGTGTGCTCGTTACCAGCAATATCCACTATGTGGGATTTGTATTTCATGCAAGCTGATCCGTTTTTCATGATGTTCCTTTCGCTCATTATGGTGATCAATGCCAGGCAAGTAATAATTGTTAGTTCTTATGTATTATCCTGCATATCGAAGCTGAATAATATTTATTTTATGAATGTTTCAATCATTTTGTTCTACTATAATCGATGGAATCTATTTTCTTAAAGAAAATTATTGAATCAAATTACAAAGCATAGTTTGAGTGATTCGAAATATAATTGTTTATTTTGTTGAAGGAATGGCTGTGTTTAGTCCAGTTTTGCCTTTCGAGATTGTTATTACACAAATATTCTTAGCATTAAAACGAAAAATGAATTTATGTAAGCATTTTATAGGAAAACATTTTATAAATGATTTAGAAATCATTTGACATCACATAATTTCCAATACTTATTTACTTATATAATTTATGTAAACGTAGTGCTTTACATTCTGTACATTGTCTTTAATTTCCAAGCACTTTCAACATTTTCCTTTAAAAACATTTTCAATATCTATTAAGCAACAATAATTCATATGTTCATAAATTTTCATCAACTTTTTATATAATGTATAAACTTTATATATAATGTATGTATTTTAGGGAACAAATTTTAAGCATGAAAGATGAGAATAAACAGAGCATCATCGATGCTTTAGCCGCAATGCCTTGTGCCTTGGAAGCTGAAGATGTTACCGATTTCTGCTCTTTAGCACAATATTATGCCATGAAAACGCCTTCATCTTTTAAATTGGATTTATACTCTATTATGTTTGGAGAGGGCGGAGACGAAAAACTTATAACACACGCACTATGTTTACCAGTTTCTGCTCAAGAATTAGTCGAGAATTCAGTGGAAGTTTCATCGCTGCCTAATGCACCTGCGGAGGCTGTAAGATTCTTTTTAGTCGATTGTAGACCAGCAGAACAGTACAATGCGGGTCACTTGCCAACGGCATTTCATCTTGATTGTAACTTGGTGAGTTATCTAAATATTAATCATGATACTAATCATTTTCTTTTAATTAATACAACTGAATTATCGTTTCACTATTGCATTACGTTCACATTATATATATATATATATATATATATATATATATATATATATAAATGACCTTATACACTGTTTTATAAGGTTTCTCGTGGATAATAAAATCGATTGCTTTATTATCTTTACTGTTTTATATTTTCATAGCAGTTGGTATACATTTATTTCGCCGTAGTACACTAAAACATTTGACATCATAATACTTTGTCAAATTCTATGCATATGTGTGCGCATACATTTTATGTTATTGTATATTCTTTTAAATACAAATGAACAATGACTGAAAAGTATGCGTGTAGAATATATTTCTCGCGTTTCAGTTTTTCTATACTTTATTCAGAATTTGTTATTTACATTTAAAAATTTGTATATACGTAGGTTATAAATTATTTTGATCAATTGGCAGATGCTTCAAGAACCAGCTGCGTTCACAACGGCTGTTCAAGGATTATTGCAAGCCCAACGACAAGCTTTAGCAGTCGGATCTCAAGCAGGTGGTGAACATTTGTGTTTCCTTGGTAGTGGACGTCAAGAGGAAGATCGATATACTCATATGGTTGTAGCATCATTCCTACAGAAACATACTCAATATGTTAGTATGGTTGTCAATGGCTATCAAGGTAAAATCAATATCAAGTAATATTTTAAGCCAGTTTAAAAAGTAAAATTATTAATCATGATTTTTGTTGTCTTAAATAGCGATTCATGAATATTTCGGTGATGAAGTAGTATCCAGTCTTATTGACCACAATTCTCAATTTTGCTTAGTTTGTAATACCAATTTGTCGGAGGAAAATTCCAATGAAACAAGTCCAATGAGAATAAAGAATAATAATTGTGATCTTTTGGGCAAGATAGGACAAGCTATGAAATTAAAAAGTCAAGAAATGAAGGGAAAACTTTTTGATTATATTGTTAATCCATCAGTGAGTGCCAATAATAGCGGAGAGAAAAAAAGTGATAAAAGTACAGATCCAAGCAGAAAGGAACGAATCTCTCGACCTGTTTTTAGTATTGACGACGATCAAGAACTTGGTAATTTTAAATATATATATATATATATAAATGTTATTTCAAGGGCAAAACTTTTGGTAGGAATGAAAATCGTGTGATGTAAAAGTATTTGAGAATTATTTCAGAATTTCTTATTATCATTTCATAATATACGTTTAATTTATTACATTCAATTTTAATTAAGCTTGCGAGAAGAATTGAAAACAATGATAATTTTTTTAATGTTTTGATTTAAATTTGCACAACTAGAGAAATGGCCGATCGATATATTTAACGTTCAAAGAGACTTTTAAAAATGAAAATGATTTGTATTTACAGGAAAATAATCTTAATTTCACTGAAACCTAATTTATTAACCATAAGAGTAATAAACAAACAATATTTCTTGATTTTTCACTGTAGCATAGTTTTCTGTGTAAGTAGGTATTTTAAACAAAATTAATTATCAATCGATAATTCATCTATTGATAATTCATTGAAAATTCATTCGCACTATTGCTCATTCAACGGATTAAACAAACACTTTAGGCTCTTACGTTAAATTTAATTTAATGATTTAATGAATTTTATCAACTAGCTTTGGTTACTTTATTTACATAGATATGACAATTGCAACTACTCAAAAGGAAGAACCTATTGAAGTAGTTTCTATACAACAGTGGCTTAAAGATCCTAATTTAATACGTTCCTTCAAATGTATGCAGGTCAAGGTTAACGGTTATGTCTATGAGAGGTAATTTTAACTTGACGTTATCATTGAAATGTTATCTTACTAACTGACGGATATCATTTTTCTCTACTGATTTTCAGCACTAATTTTGTGCTCATGTGCTATTATTATTATTTTAGCCATCTTCTGGTAACCGATACTCATATTATAGTTCTGAGAGAGATTCAAGGTCGAGAAGGAGCAGCACACGTGATTGTAAACCGCCCTTTATCGAGTATATTTATAATATTATCTCGAAAAAGACAACCCGATTTAATTACTTTGAAATATCGTTCAGAACAGTCGGAAAATGTAATTATTTCAGATATGGATAGATTTCTTATTCCAAATGCAAATGAAGCTATAAAACTAATTGCCCATCAAATAATGAAACATCTTAAAGTCGATACAAAATCTGAATAATAAATTATAATATTAAAAGTTATGCATAATAGTTGTAATCAATTTGAGCATTATTAATGTATAACAATGTTCGTGAGATTTATTTATATACAAGAGTGTAAAGAAACCATTTATTCCAATGGAAATAGAAATTTATGAATTTTTTTACCGTGCTATACAATATTTTTTTATTTCTTGAATTGAAAAGTCTTTTTAGACAAAATCATAGTATTTAATGAAAGTGATACATAGATACCGGTTACTAAGATTATTGAAATTTGAAATGTTATAACTCATCTTTACAAACGTTCTATATACATTTTTAAAAAATTTATATATAAAATTATGTGTAGTAAATTGTATAGTATATTGATGGTTATCGAAATTTTTTGTATAAATTTTAGAATATTATTTGCTTCGACTCGATAAAATTAATATTATGTGGTTCCAAATAATGCGTGATAAAAAATTTGTATAATGTATTTCCTTGAAATAAGTATTATTTGCGCGAAGATGTTTAAATATTCACAAAGAGCATTCGAATGTCTTTTATTTTTTATCATTATTATTATTATTATTATTATTATTATTATTATTATTTTTATTTTTTTTTTATGAAATACGTAGCTCTATTATTTTAAGTATTTATAAATTTTTATGAAAATCGTGAATTAAAAAAAAAGTATTTTGAATAAAACATTACATTTCTATTTCTTTATAAAGATAATTTCCGATGTGTAAATTAAGTTGTATTATTTAAATAACATAAATTATATTGTTGTTGTTGTTGTTTTTTTTTTTTAACAATTAACAAACAAAATATGCAGTCTATATATAGTCAACTTTCGCATTACACTGTATATAATTCTTATGATATATACGAACTGAAAATGTTTAATGCAATTCGTAACGACTCGTATTAAGACAAATCACCATTCAATGCATATTGCAAAATTTTAATAAATGTGAATATTATATTATTTTTCTCTCATAAACGCAAATAATAAATTTAATTATTAAAGTTTATTGTAATATAATAAATCTTTATTAATATTGTTACGTATATTATTAACAAAACAAATAAACCTTTGTAGTAATATTGGAAACGCAACGGTACATGACTTTACTAGGTCAATAGTAAAATCTAAAATCTTTCGCCTTCGCGTATAATGCCATTTCCATAGGGCCATCCAGGCTTATGCGTTTTTTTGTTTAAGTCGTCCTTGTATGAAAAGCGAAGCGCAAATTTAGATTATTACGTTTCGACACATCTTCCAATACATATGCGACGATCTATACAATTTTTATTGCTAATTGAATGTCTTCGATACAAAGGAGCCATTGCATGAAAATCCTTCGTATGCCTATGCTTTTAATAAAACGTATGTAAATATTATATCAGTTGCGATAAAGTATATCTATCATATTATTAAATAAATTACGTTAAGCGTAGCGAGCATTTAAATTTTATTGTTTATAAATTTATATTTTTATTTTAACTTTTAAAAAGTTGAATTTTATAAACCTTTGTTTTACGTAATGTGTTACTTAATTACATACTTGCAATTGTTTAGCTTAATCACTTTCGTACTTTACTTTAAGAATAATTAAATGATTTTCTAATTTATAATGACCTTAATTGAATTAATGTAAATATATTTTTAAAGAAAAATACTAAAAAAGTACATTTGGAGTTATAAATTTATTAAGCTGATTACTGATAATTATTCATTTAAGTAGTAAAATTTTTTTTAATATGCATTTCAAATATTGTACTCCTATATTATTCATTAATGTAGTTTCATTATTTATCCAAAAAAGTTTTTATAAAACATTCAATTGTTTGATAATGAATATTTTGTTTTACGACAAATTCCGAACAAATTTTAAATTAAGTAATGTATGTTGTATTCCTAAACATTCTATACAATAAAGACAAATAACAAAAAAACTTCCTAAGAATTTTTTTCTTTAAATTTAAAAATTTATAGATTATAAGATATTGATATATATATGGAAATAGTTATAGTTATAGAAATATCGTTGTTTAGATTTGGAATAAATTCTACGTGAAATTATTTATTAGGAAATGTTTTTCAAATACCAAAATGCAGTTGACTCGATATTTATATACTAGTTATTTTATATTATATAATTCTAATAACATAAATTTTTTTGATAAATTTACAATTGAAACATTAAATTAAATTAAAAGCCATTGAATTACGAAAGGTCAATGATAAAAATATTTATGACAATTAATTTAAATTTTTCATTAACTTCATTGATAATGTTCTTATCGGTGGTTGTCTATTATTTATATATTAACATTTTTATTTTAAATCTGTTTATCAAATATATAAAATTTGTCTAAAGTGTCTCGGAAAAATCAATTATTTCATAGAATTTATGGTTAATTAGTCATTTAAATAAATAAATAAATAAATATATTTGATTATATATATATAATTGATTAAATTTAAAAGATATTAATCTTGACCTATCGCAATAATACGTCAGTAATGTTACTGTAGATAAATATTCTGCATATCATTTAAAATTAAAACTTATCTTATGTTTTATCTTTAAGTATTTTACAATGAATATTTCATCACAATATCCATTATATAAATATATACTAAAAATTTCTTTCAATTTATTTTAAGAATTAACAATAAAGTGAAATTATTTGATATAAATAAAATAATAAATGCAAAAAAAAAAATTATTAAAAAAAAAAAAAAAAAAAACTGAGCAAAATAATAATGTAAATATAGTAGAGCTCAATAAAATATCCCATAGAATGATTTTGGCTATTATCTGAATTTTTACAATTTTTCAATTGTACAAATTATTTATTTCTTCATTTTGTAATAAAACAAATGTTCAAAACATTACAATTATAAGAATCACTTGTTTTATTTTCCTTCAAATATATGTATATAAATTATCATTATTATATAAATAATATATAAGTATTTAATTATCTCAATTTCAAAGATTTATTGTTGTAAGTTGAAATTAAAAAAAAAACTTTAACATATGTTTATATTGAATATAAATGACTGTATATTCATTATTATTTTGTATTTATTATAATTTATATCTATTTCTTTCTATTTCTATGCACGGTATAAGAGTATTTTGTATAACATTGTATAGAAAAGCCTTAATTCTATTAAATTTACGTTTAATTACAAAAATTAAATTAAAATTAAATCAATTTTAATTAAAAACTTAATTAAAAACATTAATTTCATTTCAATCATTTCAAATCCTTGATATGTTAGTTTAAATTTTAATGTTTTTTAGAATGATTTTTAGAATATACTTTCCATGTTAATATTAAATTCTAAAAATGTAATTAAATTTTTTAGATACGAAATTATTAAATAATTATCTGATACATGTTTTATATATATATATATATATATAAATATAATAATGCAAATAATAATTGTATAATTCATCATGTGAAATGTATCATTATAACAAAATCGTTTTTTTCGATATTTGTATACATAGTATTTCTACGATTGAATAATAAATAAATTAATTTTATATCATTGAAATAGATAATGTTTATCTATATATTTGAATAGAGAAGTAATAAATAATTATTTTATTAAAAATTATTTCTACATAAAAAGGAATGTTATTAAATATTTTTTTCTGAATTTTATACATTGACTGTTAATTTGGTTAAATATATTGTAAAATAATATTTTAAGATAAAAAAAAATCATATTTTACATAGGAAAATTAATTATACTAATGATTAATTATAATGAAATAAGTTTTATTTATTTAATTAAGTAAATGGAGAATGTGCAGATTATTCCTTGATAAGAATAGAAATATACATAGAAATATACTTTCTATTGTATTAATGATATTTATACAATATTTTTTTCTTTAGTGATAATTTAGTTTTGTATTATATTTATTTTTGTTGGTCGAGTGATAATGGATGATAATTAAGTGCAGCCCACATATCAAATTCTTTAATAATTATTATCTAGACATATCATTATATACTGCCTATAATATATATATATATATATATATATATATAAGGAAGTAATGAAATTAATTGACTTCATTTTTAGACAGAAATATAAATGCATTTAGAAATTGAATAAATATTTTTAAAAAGTAATTTTTATATTGATCTATATATATAATTTTTGATATGTTATATTAAACATATTATTAACGTTTACTACAATTATATCGTATGGTATTTTATTTGATATCCTTTAAATGATTGAAGTTAATATTACCAATTTACCAATATTAATTTTACAAAATCAATTTTTAACATATAATTTTAGTATTTTGTATAATTACTATATTTTCTCTTCTGTCATTTAATTTCTACATGAAATAATAACTATATATATATATATATATATATATATATGTATGTAAATGTTTCCAAATAAATATTGTTTGTGATGCTTTTATGGAATTATTTTTGTTTTGTAACATATAATGTATATACATATGATAATTCATATCGTGAAATTATACTTTTAGGATTTATGAAATGAATTTGTACAACTGACTTGTGTAATATGATATATTTATATATTAAAATAATTTTTATAAACAACTATTGGTGTTTAAAAATTCTGTAAGCAGTGAGCAATTGAGAGCTCTCTCGTTCATTTGTTTTTGCATAATATCGGAAGTTATTGTTTTTACAGTTGTTTTAAATTAAAATATGTATATATATCGAAATAGGAAATTTTTAATTTGCAATTCATTGCCATTTAATTGATATTACAGTAAAAAGAAAAAAAAAAAACACACACACACAAACATTAAAATACATAAAACATAATACAATAACATTTTATATAAAATACTTAGATATATTGAGAAAATAATAAAGTATTTTAACTGTAAGTTACTAATAAGATATAAATTCATTATTATGAATCTTTAATCGTATTTATACTAACCTTTAAAATAAAAAAAAATTTATATAACTATGATCAACTTATGTATATGAAACTAATATATGTAAAAAGACATGGCCAATACAATTAATAATTTTGATCTGTCACATCTTTATCAACGGCATAAATTTTTAATACAGTCGAGGTATGTTCGATTTTAAGACTTTATAGAGCTATATATTAAGATGTATAGATTTATAAAATAATCGCTATATGGTCAAGTTAGTTTTACTCGGTTTCGAAAATGAATTATTCTGTAATGAATATCGTCGCGGTTGAGGGTACGTTTATATGTGATCGAGGAGGAAATCGTGCGGTTAGTAGCGAGGAAGTACCGAGGAAATAGTAAAAGAGCAGTGAACGCACTGGACGGCTATGACTCCCCCCCCCCCCCCCCCCCCCCCCCCCCCCCCAATTAAGTACGCGTGGGTGGACAACATGTGGTTGTTTTACCTTAGTGACGGTACCGGTGAGCTGTAGCAAAATCAAATGTCTCTTTACACTTATTACAATTAACTCTTCTATTCAATCTATTCTTTTAACTTCTTTCAATACGGAACTCTATAAATATCGATTCCGTAAGCCATTCTGTATCATTGTTCGACTAAATTTCTTAGGATTTTCATCACTTAGATTATGAATTTATTAATCGACCGCGCATATTTAATGCAACGACATAATATCGGCATTCTTATCGTGCATTTTATATTCTTATCCTATCCAAATAATAATAATAAAATAACGGCGCTGTATTTGTTTATTAATTATAGAGGATTCTCACGGAGTATGTAAAAGCATTAATTGTACGTTCGCATACTTTAGCCGCTGTTTATTTTGATATTATGACAAAAAATTCGATGATGAAACAACGTAGATAAATGTAGATAAATATTGGTAGCTCAGAGTCGAATAAGAATAATACCAACAAGGCTCCTTTAACGATTTAAATCCACTCCCTTTTCAATAATAATAATGATAATAATGATAATAATGATAATAATGATAATAATGATAATAATAATAATAAGAAGAAGAAATTTCTTGCCAAAATCTCGGCTCTCAATTTCAATGTGTGTTTTTCGCGAGTATGAGAGAAAAAACAAAATGAGTCAACAAATAAATTATAGAACATCGAGGCATGACGTATTCGAGGCGATTGCAGGATGTGTGTGTGTGTGTGTGTGTGTGTGTGTGTGTGTGTGTCACTTAATGTAATGTAGCGAGGATTTAACGATTTCGCGACACGATTATTATATGAGAATTACTCTTATAATAAAGTGTACAGTTAGCAGGAGGAGATTGCTTAAGATATGGTAATTTGACATTTTAATTTTATTCCCGACCAAGTCTACTCGCCTGCCTTTTACTCGAGCTTAATCCCGTAAAAATCATTTTCGTTTATCGTTTGCCACACAATTTGCATAAGAAAGGAGCATCTGCGATTATAATTTGCGATAACGTTGATGTTTAAGAAGTTTGACGAGTTTCATAAGAAGGAGTATGGGAATAGATGTAAGAGGACGAACGAGTAATATTTCCACAATATATAGCATTGATTTACAACACTTTGAATTAACAATACCAAATAACATTTTGCGCTTAAAAAGTGTAAAATAGCGAATAAAATAATTATTATTTTCGTTATTGGTCAATGTTTGTTTGTTGCCAGTGTATGTGCATTTGCATAGTGAGAGAAAGCCGTATTAATAGAAATTGAAAGTACAATTTTCGAAAGACGCGTGTCTGTTAATATTTAGGCGCCTTCTTAATCGTCTATCGAACGTTGCTTACTTATTTTATTAATATGCGTCACAACTCGTCAAGTTACCCGTTAAATTTAATCGAACGGCCGAGACAATTTTACGCTCGGTTTTGAAAAATGCGCTCCCGGTTGTGCAGAAAATTGAAAACTCCCGAAAAACTCCCGTGCAATTGTTGATCATTACGATAATTGCTGATAAAAAAGAATGACAAATGACAAATGTGTGCGCGCGCGTGTGCGTTGCAAACGTTGCGACTTGCGGTCGGCAGCAGCAGCTGCAGTGTCGACGAAACATTCGAGGGGAGTGGGAAGCGAAGAGTCGTGGACCAATGTTAACAAAATGATCGTCTGAAGGAGCGCCGATTTGAAGTGTTGATTATTTGAGAGGAAGGAAACAATGTCCATGATAAACTGGTCGGAACTGTTTCCAGGAAAATGGAGCGCTGTTATTTTCTTCCTTTATATAACTCTTTTCGTTAATCAAGGTTCGTACTTTAAGGTTATAATTTGTCCTATGTATCACCGACGTGGTTCTTCTCAAATAAAGTGATTCTCAAAGAATTTCCTCGTGCACGGTTTACTCGTAAATAATCAATACGCTCGTGATTAATGATTTTTGACAATTCTCTGGCGTTGCCACTGGCTGTGTCAATATTTTAATTCAAAAGCTTTTAGCTCCGTAGCATCACCCGTAGCCGTGATGAGTTATTATTAACTTCATAGTGGCGTTTGTAACGCTTATTAAAAATTATTTTGATTTAGTATTAGAAGATGGAGGCAGTTGCATTTAAATTACTTGCAGTCGATTGTGTGCTGCGGCATAATGTGACTCTCTTATCTAATCACTTTCCTTAGATTGCTTTCAATAATCTCGCATTTGCTTTGATTATTTTTCATTCATTTTTCTTTACTTTTAGGAATTATTATAAAATGGTCCCAAGATAAAGGAGAATATAATTATAATATTGTTATAGTTGTTCTCATGACTGAAGTTCTAAAATTATTAAGCTCCGTTGTTTTGTATTGTAAGGAGTAAGTTAAAGTTTACATCTACCTTTCATAAACATGAATTCTTAATTAAAGATTATTATTTTTATTCTAGGAATGCATTTAAAAGTTTATTTCAAGAAATATTCAAGTACAGAAAAGGTAAATTATATTGTCATCTCAGGAATTGCAATTAATATGGAATGCTTATACAAAATAATCACTTTAATATTTTTTTTTTTTCTACTTTATTGTTTTCATTTTATAGTATTGTTGCTGTACATGGTTCCATCCTCTTTATATTGCCTTTATAATAATTTATCCTTTGTAAATCTAGCGGCATTTGATCCACCAACATATTTCTTATTACTTCAATTGCGTGTTGTTATAACAGGAATAATTTTCCAGGTAAATATTAATTTACAATTTCAATGTATTATTATATTTTTATAAAATTCTTATATACTTCTCTGTATTGTAATGAATATTTATATATATATATATATATATATATATATAAAATTTTTTTTTTTTAGATTGTTTTTAAAAAGAAATTATCTAGTAAACAATGGATAGCACTTATTTTGTTGACATTAGGTTGTATGATAAAACATTTGAATCTTGATTATAATAATGCCTTTTCGCAAACAACCTTGCATTTAAATATTAATATTGTATTTATATTTATTCAGGTAAGTAATATTATCTTAATAAGTTTTATTAGTGATTAGACTTCTTTCACGTATAGCAATATAAAAATATCTTTAAATAAATTTCATTAAAATTGTTACATTCGTTGCTTATATTAAAATTAATTTTAAGCAACAATATTATTGCAATGTTTATTATCATTATGATGATTGAATATTGAATCGTATTAACTGTATAATAATAATAATAATAATAATAATAATAATAATAATAATAATAATAATAATAATAATAGAAACATTTTACACTGTTTACACAAATATACGCTCAAAATATTCTATTATATATTAATTATAAAAATTACATAATTGTTTTGAGCAAATAAAATTCTAATAATAAAATTATAAATCACTTGGATAAATCAAAGTCAATATTTATTATCTAATATCTATTATAAACTTAAAATAACAACGAATGTAATATTGATTATAAAGATAGATTATTGGATTATATAAATTACTGTATGTATATATGTAAACAAATATTTTATTAAATTAAAAGTTTCTAATCAGTATGTACTTATTATATAAAGTAAATATAGATTACTGTTACACCTCGGTTCTTTATTCGATATTTCTTACATATTTAACAAAAAATTTGTTTTATACAAATTCGTTTAAAGATATAATTTAGAGTCATATTATTTTTTATTGAATAATTTATTCTTAAATTTTTTAAACATCCGTAATTTTAGTTTTAAATAAATTTAATGGCTTGTTTCAGACAATATGTTCATGCTTGGCAGGTGTTTATAATGAATATCTTTTAAAAGGAGAGGCTGCGAATGTAAATATCTTTGTACAAAATGTATTTATGTATGTCGACAGTATACTGTGCAACGTAGCAGTGCTATTGGTACAAGGTCACCTCATCGAAGCATTCGATAATGCAGGGTCGAGTATTTTCATGGACCCTAAGGTTATCTTAATTATGTGTAATAATGCAGCAATAGGTATTGTTACGAGTTTTTTCTTAAAAAATCTTAACTCAATTGTGAAAACTTTTGCTAGTGCCTTAGAATTAGTTTTTACAGCGGTATTTTGCTGGATACTTTTCGGTATTCCAATTTATTTGAACACAGCTCTTGCCATTGCTATAGTCAGTTTTGCGGTGATACTGTATTCGCAGAATCCAGTACAAAATGTAAAAAGCTTAGTGTAGCGTAGTCTATGAGGAAATCTAGAATTTTATAACGATATATAAATTATATTCTTAATGAATAATGCGACATTATTTATCATGTTTAACTTAATAATATATTTTTTTAATTTATCTAAATTAGGACAAATTATTAAATGTTATAAAAATTTTTCACTCTTTATCTGAATTTCTTTTATAAGACTATTTATATTTAGTATTATATATGATTTTAAAGTACCAATTAAATAATAATAATTATTTAAATTAAATATGTATGATAATTTAAATAATTTTAACTTAGCAACATGGAAGGAAAATTCCTTTAATTGTGATTATGTGTTTAATGATGAAATACGCTTCTTTATGTTAAATGTTAATTATAATGTGATTCATGATAAATTTATTTAGATAATATTATATTGTTGATTACAGTATAAGTATTACATATTTTATAAAACTAAAACTCTACAATTGATTACAACTATTTAATAATATAGGGATATTTTTTTATTCAAATGATTAGACCACTCAAATCTCTGGTTTTTATTAAGTTTCAAAAACAAAACAAAAAAATTTGTGAGATACGTAGTTTACATTTTTTATTAACATTTTGGATGTGAATAGAGAGAAATTTTTTTAATATTAGAATATAGTATACATTTACTAAGTATTTTTACATTATTATTATCAGAAAAAATTTTAAAATTTCATAGGTAATTATTATATCATAAATATAACATTTTTTTATCTCATCTATGAATTTTAAATATTAATGGTTGTGTCATAGACTATCTTTTGATGTTGAAATTTAAATTTATCATCCTCGTAATATTTAATACTTAAAATTAAATTGATAAATGATTGTAGTTTTTACAGGATTATAAGCTTATTAAGTCTTCAATGTTCATTCTAAACTTGATTAGGTTATTAATAGTCTTTTTTTTTCCATATTAGGTAATCTACATATGTTATTAATAATCGATCAAATTTGTATTTTTCATATTAAATCAAAGTTTGATCAATGTTAATAAGTATACGGTTTCTCACATTATTTGTTAATGTATTTGATGAGCTTTAAATATCAGGAATCTTGAGAATCAGATAATAATTGGATTGTAAAATAACAAGGCCATAATTATTGTTGATTATATTTAGATTTCATTACAATAGTGACGCGCAGTATCTATTGAATAATTCGAATGGTGTTATTATTATTAATTGTCGCGGATCACGTGTTATACCTCAATAGTGGCTCTATCGAAATCTTTCCACTTCATTGCTCGTTTGTTTAATGATTGTTTTTTTTTCTTTTAGACAACAATTACTCAACTTAATATTGGTGGTGTACTTTAATAACGGTTTGAATCTGGCACCCGATCACTAGTTGTCCAGGTCTGAATTTTCGTGAATTCTATTGTGATTGACATGTATCATTAAACGATTAAATTATTATTTTGTTCTGTTGCTTTGTTAGTGCAGTGTCGATATGTTGATAAAATATGCATTTATTCATTTATTCTTTTTCTGAATTATATTATCTATTCATCATAATAAATAATTATTTGAGTAAAGTATTTATTTTATGCAGATTTAATTAATGATTTTAATAAATAGGGTGGGGGGAGTGAGAGAAGAGGAGGGTCAACTCAAGTCATACACTAAAACTGGAAACATTAATGAATTATTAAAATAACATAAATTAATTATGAAATTACGGAAAGAATATGTATTTATGTACGTGAATGAAATTAACAAGGACTGAGAGAGAAAGACGAACGCAATTACTTGAGATGTCTTTTATTTGCTTATGGCACGTGATTTCGGTTTCTCGTTATCATTTCATCTGCATTGCCACGGTCTCGTTGTCGTCAAGATGAGGAACTGCTGATCGCTATAATATCTCTACTTTTCTTACAATAGTCTCAAGTATCCTTTTTAATGTCTTTGATTACCCAAGCAAGTCGGCGTTTCTTATCAGTCGTCATTCGGTGTCGAATATTTCCACCTTCTGCATTTCTCTCTGATTTTCAAATTCACATTATCGTCATATTTGTTTGTAGAGTAAGTTATTCTATTCGACTTACAGCTTACACATATATGCTGTATCTTTTTCCATTTACATATAAAATATTTTTCTCACGTATCATCATTATTTTTCTATTTTGCGTGACTTTTATATTTGCATACATTCATATTAATAAATTTTTCAGCGCAAGTACATACTTGCTCTATAGATTGATGGCTTATTAATTAAATTTATTATTATTATTATTATTATTATTATTGTTATTATTATTATATATTGTTATTATTATGATAATATTAATTTATTTATCGATAAGAGAGAATAATCTTTAAATATTAAATTATTCGTTAGGCAGTCATTAATGGCCATAAAATAAATTTTATCCTGTACTTTTCCAGTTTTTAAATTTACAAAACTTTATTTGTGCAATAATAAAGTAATGGCGATTAATTGACATAAATCTTAAAATCTTTTCTGTATTATTTATTTATTTATTTATTTGTTAATTTTTTTTAAGCTTCATTCCCACAATAAATCACTAAGCATAGATATGTCTATCTTTCATCCTATTGATTAAATTTATTTCTCTTTAAACGCGTCCCTATATTGTTTTGCACTTTATTTTAATTTCTGCGTCACAATTCTATAAGATGTATTATTATTATAAAGTTTTAATTATAAAGAATTTTAATTTATCCTTGAAGATTTTTCGTTGAATTATTTCGTTCCTTAACATAATTTATTTTATTTATTTTAACATATATTATTATAATATTTATATTTACTTTTATATTGTGGCCTAAAAAACTATTTCAAAGCTGTTTTGATTTACCATCTATTTTTTAATTCCTTTTTGCTATGTCTATATTTTTATATTTTCTATATGCCCATGATTTATTTTAATAATTTAATTTATCTGAATGCTTAATCATTTAAAATGGAATCCACGGTGGACATTGGCGAAATAATTGTTGTAACTTGTATGAATGTAGTTTTTACCTCGATGATGTTTCCAAAATGAATAGGTTCTGTTGAAAATTTTGTTTAACAGTTCATCTTCTTAAAATCATAGCTTATAATTACAATAGTTATTGTCGATTTGATTTACTAATTTCAAAATACTAATGTCGGTTAACTTGATATAAAAGATCTTATATATCTTTTATATAATCCTTCAAATTGTATTCGTTTATCTTTGTTGGTTTAGTTTTTTTTTTTTTTTTTTTTTTTTTTTGCTGCAATATTAAATTCGCCTCATCGAAGGTTATCTCTTCAGCATCAAAATCATACATTCTATTAAATATTTGTATATACAGGACTAAGGTATTCATATTTTTATCGATTAATCATACCATCTCTGATAGTATACTACAGCAGCAAACAATGGGCTTTGGCTGTTAGTAATGATACCTTTTCAAAACATTTTCCTGCCATTTTCCTTAGCTGCTTTCTATTCACTTTCAAAAGTTTTTTTTTCTACATTCTCGTCTTCGTGCATTTCCTTGAAACTTTCTGCTAATTAGACTAATATATATATATACTTTACCAATAATATCAAAATTATTTTAATTCATTAGCAATATTTCGAAGTCATTATTAAATTAAATTTATTTATTTAATTACAAATACTTTATTTTTCATCTACTGTTTTCTCAATTGTACTTATTTCATGCAAACCCCCAGATAAATGATTAATGCTAGTCTTTTTATGTTTATTGTATTGAATATTTCCTCGAATATATATTTATATATATTTCACAATTCTAATATATAGTTTTTTTTTTTTTTTTTTATATTAATTAATTTCATGTAATATTAATTTTTACCTAAACAATATTTGGCTATATTCATTATCGATTCGCTTTCATTGATAGAACGTGATTTTTTTATACTCACGAAATTTAAAAGAAAACTTATTTAATATTACATTAATTATTCTTTTATTTCACATAGATTAAATAAATATTTTAAATGATATATATTTTTGAGTCAAACCCCTGTTAAGATATACTAGTTAGAAATAGTATACGAAATACGATACCTACTATTGTCAGTATTTGATCTTTATCTTTACATGCAATGGAATGAAATTTGCTTATTTTTATTATCGATATACTCTTTTATTCATACGAAAATTTGGCTTTCCTGGGATTTAACTTTCTAATTTCTATAGAAGGAAAGTTTACGCCTTGTTTTTCTATAAACGTATCTCTGTTATATATATATATATATTTTTTTTTTTCAATTGTTTTTACGGCTTTCGTATTAGCGTATTTTTGGCGAGTCGACGTACCTGACATTTAAGGATAACACTGGACATCTTGTAAATTTAAATTACGAATTTCGTTAGGATATCACATTTCCTTATCTTGTTATACACAGCCTATTATTTTACCTGAGTATCTACCGTAATATATACATTTCTATTAATAAATAAATAAATAAAAAAAAGAAAGTAATTTAATAATCGGTGAGTATAAAACAATTGTTTAAAAATATTATTGTGAATTAGTTAAAAAATATTTTTTTAATCATATATTTTATTGCATAATATTCAGCGTCAATGTAAATTGCAAAGAATTTTTAGTATGATAAAAATTTATAGCAATAAAAGCATTTCTAATCATTTGAATAAAGATATATCTACGATATTTTATAACAACAGTTTAGTAATTAAATTTCAGGAAAAATTTATTATCTTTGTAGAATCAAATTTTCAAAGTATGTTAATTATTATTGAAATAAATGTAGCGACGGATTAACTCGTTTCGTTTATTGATCATATCGATTAGTTTTATTCTATTCAAGTTTAGTTTAATTCGAGTAGCAAATGTTATGGCAAACGTATGCACAATCTGAATCTGTAATCTTCAACGAATAAATTTAATTGTACGTGTTAACTCATAAACAACCAAGCTTTAGAATAATTGTTTATAATTTTGTAAAAGAAATTACATTTTTTAAGCTGTAAGTTGTATTTATGGGTAGATGTAATTGGTAACCAAAGACTAAATTATATAAATTCTCTTTTGCATAGTATTATAATTTTTGAAACTAT